CAAGCTATTGAGACACTTTCAATGTAACTGGTAATTAGTGGTGTTTGTTAAGCCAGGCTAGCAATTTTAACAAGCCTACAGGACGTCTTAGCAACTGGACAGCGATGCCCCAGCAACCGTCCAGGACACTCCTTGTCTTGTGGTGGCCCACGAGTAAGTGCATTTCTCATTTACTACAGCAAGCATGCATAATCTGGTTGCATCTAATAAAATAGGCACAGTTATGAGAAATAAAGCCATAATTACAAGTAATCAATCAACACTGTTACACATTTTCAGTTAAAATATCAGAATTGCAATAGATCTTCACAGTTGTGAAATATTCTCATAACTGTGCCTATTTTATTAGATGCAACCAGATTATGCATGCTTGCTGTAGTAAATGAGAAATGCACTTACTCGTGGGCCACCACAAGACAAGGAGTGTCCTGGACGGTTGCTGGGGCATCGCTGTCCAGTTGCTAAGACGTCCTGTAGGCTTGTTAAAATTGCTAGCCTGGCTTAACAAACACCACTAATTACCAAAAAAAAAATGATTTGCAATTGTAAGATATGAATTCACACTTACAATTTGAGTTATAGTGTTGCATTACTACAAACAAAGCTGCAACTCCGAAATATAAAGCCACATCTGGGAGACATAGCTACAATTACGAGAAATAAAGACAGAATTAGAATAAATAAATTTGGAATTGAGAGATACAGAGTCACATCGCAAGATATAAAGGCACATAGCCTGCATGGAGTTTGCTAAAAAACACCTGAATAAGATTCTCTGGTCTGATGAGACCAAGATATAACTTTTTGGCCTTAATTCTAAGCGGTATGTGTGGAGAAAACCAGGCACTGCTCATCACCTGTCCAATACAGTCCCAACAGTGAAGCATGGTGGTGGCAGCATCATGCTGTGGGGGTGTTTTTCAGCTGCAGGGACAGGACGACTGGTTGCAATTGAGGGAAAGATGAATGCGGCCAAGTACAGGGTTATCCTGGACGAAAACTTTCTCCAGAGTGCTCAGGACCTCAGACTGGGCCGAAGGTTTATCTTCCAACAAGACAATGACCCTAAGCACACAGCTAAAATAATGAAGGAGTGGCTTCACAACAACTCTGTGACTGTTCTTGAATGGCCCAGCCAGAGCCCTGACTTAAACCCAATTGAGCATCTCTGGAGAGACCTAAAAATGGCTGTCCACCAACGTTTACCATCCAACCTGACAGAACTGGAGAGGCTCTGCAAGGAGGAATGGCAGAGGATCCCTAAATCCAGGTGTGAAAAACTTGTTGTATCTTTCCCAAAAAGACTCATGGCTGTATTAGTTCAAAAGGGTGCTTCTACTAAATACTGAGCAAAGGGTCTGAATACTTAGGATCATGTGATATTTCAGTTTTTCTTTTTTAATAAATCTGCATAAATGTCAACAATTCTGTGTTTTTCTGTCAATATGGGGTGCTGTGTGTACATTAATGAGGAAAAAAAATTAACTTAAATGATTTTAGCAAATGGCTGCAATATAACAAAGAGTGAAAAATTTAAGGGGGTCTGAATACTTTCCGTACCCACTGTATCTTACAGTGTCATTCTATATCTCTCAATGTAGACATTATTTCTTGTAATTGACTTTTTTTTCTTAATTGTGACATTGTCTACCAGTTGACTTTTTTTCAATAATCTGACACTATAACTCACATTGTGACTTTAAGTGTCACAATATGGCTCTCACAACTGCAACATTATAATTGCGACTTTGTCTCACAATTATGAAGATTTATTTAAAATGTGCCTTTATATCTTGCGATGTGACTCTGTATCTCTCAATTCCAAATTTATTTATTCTAATTCTGTCTTTATTTCTCGTAATTGTAGCTATGTCTCCCAGATGTGGCTTTATATTTCGGAGTTGCAGCTTTGTTTGTAGTAATGCAACACTATAACTCAAATTGTAAGTGTGAATTCATATCTTACAATTGCAAATCATTTTTTTTTTGGTAATTAGTGGTGTTTGTTAAGCCAGGCTAGCAATTTTAACAAGCCTACAGGACGTCTTAGCAACTGGACAGCGATGCCCCAGCAACCGTCCAGGACACTCCTTGTCTTGTGGTGGCCCACGAGTAAGTGCATTTCTCATTTACTACAGCAAGCATGCATAATCTGGTTGCATCTAATAAAATAGGCACAGTTATGAGAAATAAAGCCATAATTACAAGTAATCAATCAACACTGTTACACATTTTCAGTTAAAATATCAGAATTGCAATAGATCTTCACAGTTGTGAAATATTCTCATAACTGTGCCTATTTTATTAGATGCAACCAGATTATGCATGCTTGCTGTAGTAAATGAGAAATGCACTTACTCGTGGGCCACCACAAGACAAGGAGTGTCCTGGACGGTTGCTGGGGCATCGCTGTCCAGTTGCTAAGACGTCCTGTAGGCTTGTTAAAATTGCTAGCCTGGCTTAACAAACACCACTAATTACCAAAAAAAAATGATTTGCAATTGTAAGATATGAATTCACACTTACAATTTGAGTTATAGTGTTGCATTACTACAAACAAAGCTGCAACTCCGAAATATAAAGCCACATCTGGGAGACATAGCTACAATTACGAGAAATAAAGACAGAATTAGAATAAATAAATTTGGAATTGAGAGATACAGAGTCACATCGCAAGATATAAAGGCACATTTTAAATAAATCTTCATAATTGTGAGACAAAGTCGCAATTATAATGTTGCAGTTGTGAGAGCCATATTGTGACACTTAAAGTCATAATGTGAGTTATAGTGTCAGATTATTGAAAAAAAGTCAACTGGTAGACAATGTCACAATTAAGAAAAAAAAGTCAATTACAAGAAATAATGTCTACATTGAGAGATATAGAATGACACTGTAAGATACAGTGGGTACGGAAAGTATTCAGACCCCCTTAAATTTTTCACTCTTTGTTATATTGCAGCCATTTGCTAAAATCATTTAAGTTAATTTTTTTTCCTCATTAATGTACACACAGCACCCCATATTGACAGAAAAACACAGAATTGTTGACATTTATGCAGATTTATTAAAAAAGAAAAACTGAAATATCACATGATCCTAAGTATTCAGACCCTTTGCTCAGTATTTAGTAGAAGCACCAGAGTGAAAAATTTAAGGGGGTCTGAATACTTTCCGTACCCACTGTATATAGTCAGATTTTTAGTTTGAATGTTGCAATTATAAGATATAAAGTGACACTTACAAGAAAATAGTCAAAATTGAGAGATATAGTCACATTGCAAGAAAACAAATCACATTTTTAGTTATGTCAGAATAGCAATACATCCTCACAAGAGACAAAGAAATAAAGTTGCAATTGTGAGTCCCAATGTGAGTTAGTGTCGCATTACAAGAAACAAAGTCAACATTTTGATTTAGTTACATTGTGAGATATAGTCATATCATGTGATATGAAGTCACAATAAACAATACTTCTATAATTGTCAAGTGAGAGTAAATAAGAAAAAGAAGAGCATAGTTGTTCAATTCAAGTTTTAATATCTCTTACTGTGCAATAAATTAACATTTACAGAATAAGTTACAGTATCAGTCACATAAGGATTATTTGTATTCATCATACATCAGCTTGTATATACATAGAGTTCATATGACCTAATGAATGGAGAGAGACAGCAGCATACTGGATTAATTCTACAGATCATCGTCTATTTACTATGAGGAGAGGTGAGGAATCTGTACACAACAAAAACTTTGGGAGAGGAGAGTGGGATGTAAACTTGCAAACAATACTGTACTGTCTACAGCACGGTTTGTTCAAACAGCTAGCATATTACATGATTTTAAAGTGTATATCTGCAAAACACAGTTATGTCATCAAGGACACATCATTCATCATTCAGTCGCTCCACTGTTGTATTATTTACTCAACTTGTCTTGTAAAAATCCAGCAGAACTGACACACTTGTAAACATGTACTGTTTCTTGTCTTTCTGCCAAGACAAGACCCTCTTACGTTCCTGGACTGACCTAAAACCTCTCAAACCGATCAAAATCAATAAAAACAGTACTCTAGATCTAAAACATATCATAAATGCCACAAATTGATGACCTAGAACTTAACGTTACATGTTGCACAAAATAATACCAACTGACAGCCAAATAAAAAATTAAACAAGTACCCCAGATATCTACACTTGCTAAAAGAGAGACCTGGAGATGGGAACCAAAGACAGCAATATTATTAAAAAAAATATTCCAGGTTACACACAAGTTAAGTTTGATCAACAGCGTCATATTATCCATCACCACAGAAAAGACTTTGAGTGAGGTTGAATTTCATTCTCCTAAACAATCCAAAAGTGTTTCAAGTTACACACTAACAATGGAAGCCTATCAGGGAAGTGTACAACTGTACCCATAGAGCTCCAATGTAAGAGCATGAGATGTGAGTTTGATCTTCAATGTTCAATCCATTTCTCACTTGTTTTCCCTCTGACTCGCATTGTGTGAAGTGTCTTTTCTGTCTTTTTTTCCCTGTTCCCTGACCGTTAGTGAAACCGTAACCAAGAAAAGACAGGATCAGAGCGTGAGAACTACAAATCCCTGCGGACTGACTAAAATACCACCTCAACCCCCCTCCTTATTGTTATTCATTAATTTGCCGAGAACATCTGAACCCCCTCCGCTACAGTGCAGTGTTATAATAATGTCACGTCAATCAGTGTAGGTGTGTTAATATTCTACCTCCTCTCGATTACTCAATTTCTTATGTCCAAAAATGGATTCATTAAAATATCTGAATCTTAGTCATCATCACCCCTGGAGGAGCTCTCTGCTCATCTGAAGCGTGTGGTAGCACTGTTAGTTAGGGGAGCCAGTTTCCACCATCCTCAGTAAAAAAAAAAAAAAAATTTATATATATATATATATTATCAAATTAACAAGACTATTGCAGTTTTATTTCTTACAATTATGACATAAAATAACAAAACTTGCAAATGTGACTCTCATAATTGCTTTAGGTCTGACAATGGGCCTCCATTCATGAAACATGAACAGGAAGAATTTGTTTGTTCATAAAGCCATTCTGACGTAAAACTTCGGAGTCACGTTATATGAAATTCCTAAACAAATTGTTCCTAAAACTAATTTCATATAAAAAAAATGAATTAGTTAACCAATTAATTAAATGTGAAAACAAATCTCATTAATAAACAAATATGATGCATAGCTGTAATTCAATTATGCTAACTGTGGATTGTTGAATTCATTTAATACTTGTTTAATTATCAACTTTGAGGTTTGAAGCGTTTGTGAATCTGAAGGACAGTTTTCTGGAAGGTCCACTTTATGTGCAAATTAATTCAGATTTACTCATATATTTACAAAACTTTAATGAACGATGCCCATCGTGACTTTGTTTCTCTTAACTGTGACAATATATTTTGATCTGAAATTACTTTTTTTTTTTCTCCCCCCACTCTCAAGTGGAAACGGGCTTCCACAGTTAGTGCTGTTAGTATGTTGATCTCCCGAAGAGTGTTAACTTTTTTGTTTGATCATCCCGACCAGCCCGAAACAGCAACACTGGCTCAACCAAAGGCATAAGTTTGGGGGTGGGATCATCTGTTTATTTAACCAATAGCAGAGTGTGTTTCGGGAAACCTGTATGTTTTTGCCACAAGGGGCGCTGAAATGACACACTTCACCTTTAAGCAAATGCAGAGTGTTTTCAGTCTGATTCATTTGTAGTCAGTTGAGAGTCTCGCCTGGAAGCCTGCAGGCAAGCTTTAGCCCTCCAAGATTGGGGTGGAGTAACAGGCAACTCTAATTTCCTGTTTCCTCACAAACTAATACTTCTGTGGTGCTGCTTCACAAAGCTCTCACGCTCTCTATCTCTCTGCTGTCTGTCCGCCCCTGAGGCACCTTTCTCTGCGTCCTGTCTCGAGAGGTTCGCCACCTCTCTCTCTACTATTCTATCGTCGACCCTAAATTCTCTCTCGCTCTCCGCCTCTTTCTCCTCACCTATTATACTTCCGACGTCACTAAGGTCGCCCAAGTGCTCCACAGAATCGAACTTCTCTAGGTCGGAGGCGATGGTTTGCAGGCTGATGACTGACATGGAGTCTGACCCCGCCTTCTCCGCCCTCTCTCTCCTGCCCCACCCCGCATCCCTGTGTTTCTCCACCCACTGCCTGGTTTTCTCTTGATCGGCCCAGTCATTATCTTCACCTTTAAGCAAATGCAGAGTGTTTTCAGTCTGATTCATTTGTAGTCAGTTGAGAGTCTCGCCTGGAAGCCTGCAGGCAAGCTTTAGCCCTCCAAGATTGGGGTGGAGTAACAGGCAACTCTAATTTCCTGTTTCCTCACAAACTAATACTTCTGTGGTGCTGCTTCACAAAGCTCTCACGCTCTCTATCTCTCTGCTGTCTGTCCGCCCCTGAGGCACCTTTCTCTGCGTCCTGTCTCGAGAGGTTCGCCACCTCTCTCTCTACTATTCTATCGTCGACCCTAAATCCTCTCTCGCTCTCCGCCTCTTTCTCCTCACCTATTATACTTCCGACGTCACTAAGGTCGCCCAAGTGCTCCACAGAATCGAACTTCTCTAGGTCGGAGGCGATGGTTTGCAGGCTGATGACTGACATGGAGTCGGACCCCGCCTTCTCCGCCCTCTCTCTCCTGCCCCACCCCGTATCCCTGTGTTTCTCCACCCACTGCCTGGTTTTCTCTTGATCAGCCCAGTCATTATCCATTAAAGGATTGGCCACCACCCCTGCATACGCCCCTGACTGGATTACACCCTCAGACTCCGCCCCCACCGGAGAGCTCCGCCCTCCACGGGCTCTGTTGCGCTCTCTGGCGGCACGAATGCGACCCCTTTGTGCATGGATCTGCTCGCTGATTTGCTCAAGGTTGCGGAGAGCGACAGAATATCGGGTCTTCACCTTCGCCACCCGTTCCTCCAGCTGGACGACTTTGGACTTGTGCTCCTGTTCATGAGTGGTGATAATCATAAAACAATGAATAAAAAGACCATTTGTCACGTTCATGCAACAAATATATTAATGACATTATAGCAATCACAGAAACAGAGAATCATCCAATCAGAAAAATATTTTAGAATATTTAGGGATGCACTAATATTGAAATTCAATCCAATTATTTTCCATGTAATGGCCAATAACCAATAATTGGCTGATGTTATAATTTATACTACAAAATGTAATAAACTAAAAAGTAAAAAAAAAAAAATAGTTTGAATGAATAGTTTGTATGCTACAAGTCCATTTTCTGTTCATTCTGTCCACCCATAGTTTGCATTTCATAGAGGATTTCATTTTGTTACTTTAATCGATACAGCCAGCAGACCTTGAATACCTTTACAGCAGAGGCCAGTCTCTGATGCATACCTCTAAGATGTGGTTGAACTGAGCCTTGAGCTCAAAATAAGGCTTGGACTTGATAATGACCCTCTTAAGAGCCTTCTGCAAAGTCTGCACACGCGCTTCTGCTTCCTGACAAAGCTGAGTGACATGTTGGTGCTCCCTCTCGCTCCTCAAACGCTCCTCTTCTGCCTCGTTCACCTGCAAACAGCACCATGTCAAATGTGATATCCTGTTCCGTTCTCAAAAGACATTTAATCAAATTTATTCTCATATCTTTCTGTATCATTCATACAAAGACATGACAAGTTGATATCGCATCAACCGTCAATAACGGAGTATTCTTAAGAGTTTGTATAAACCTAGATTGACGATAGCATTCAGGAATGTTAAAGATGCAGTACTTTTGTAAAATCAAGCTGATACTAAAGGTTAAAGAAAATTCAATAATATCAATTGGTCTACAGTGTAGCTGTTCAATATATTTCTGAATGTTTACTTTGCCGTTTCTGAAACTTTTACAGTTAACTTTATTCTTTTTAGTTGTTATATCACTGGTAATTTGTTTCTTTATTCTATATTTTATTGCTGACTTTTTACTAAAATGGTTGAGTAAACTGAATTTTTTTTTTTTTGCTTTAAGTTAACATGAATTGTGAAGTAAGAAAGGTTACTGAAAAAGAAAAAAAAGCAAGACTTTTGTTATTTATCTGGGAATTGAATAAATTGTTAAAAGTGGGCATTACAAAACAGAATGGAGCCAGACTGAATGTGAGTTTGCTGGCTATCCAGAAAACCATTCGGCCTGAGTGACATCAGGAGAAAAGTCACTGCAGAGAAAGTTATTACATCTGGATTAAAGATAACAAAGACAATTTTATTCTTTGGAATAACATGCACCGATAAATCATCCACAGTAAGACCAGGCACATCCAATGTTTTTGTTCTGTTGTAATTTGTTTCTTTGATATTTGTATTACCATTTAGTCAGTAATAAAACGTTCTGTTGTAATTTGTTTCTTGGATATTTTTTTTTTATTACTGACTGTTTAGTCAAATGATTAATTAAAAAACGAAGCATTGTTTACTTAATTTGTATCTTTGTTCTATTGTTGCTATTCTATTGCATGTAATTTGTTAATGTATCATTTTTTTTATTGCTGACTAGTTACTTGAATGATTAATTTGAAAACTTCAAGCACTGTAATTTGTATTTTTGTTCTATTCCGTGTTATTTTTCTGTACTTTATTACTCCCTGCTCACTTGAATGATTCATTTATAAACCTGAATCCGTGTTTACTTCATTTGTAACTTTGTTCTGTAACGAATCAGCTCATGGGAAATATGAATAATTAACCATAACTAGTTATGATTAATTATGAATATTTTAGATCCGCTGTAGATATTTAGCTGACCTCTCAGGGTCAACTGTCTTGTCAATTCTAAGAACGTTAATTTCCTGGTTAAGGGAAATAACTTTCTTACTGTACAATTCTACAAAAGCTTGTAGCGTAAATCTGCATGATTAGTGACTCCGGTTATGAGCAAACAATGAACACGTCAAGTGTGATACAAGTAAGGTTTTATTAACTACATAAACACTTAAACTAGTCTAACATACTACATAAACACATAAACTGGTCTAACATCCTACATACACACATAAGCTGGTCTAACATACACATACACACACACATACATACACACACA